GGTCTGAATTTGTGCTTGTTTTTCTGGCCACTTCTTTTTTGGAACCAGGAAGTGCTGCAGAGGTTGGCCTTTGGTCTTCTGTGTGGGAGAGCAGATCCTGGGACAAGCACGGCCTAATGAAACGATGGTGGGTGTGGTGGAACCTGTAGAGCATTACCAAGTCCCCGGCAAGAGAAGGTGCCTGTGTGCTAGAGGGTCTTCTCAAATTTTCCATTTCTCCCGCTTTCCAAGGTGCCTCCGTGAGCCTGGTGAACGGCAGGAACCGCTGTGAGGGGCGTGTAGAAATTTCCTTCCCGGGGGGCCGGGGCACCGTCTGTGACGACAGCTGGGACCTGAGCGATGCCCAGGTTGTGTGCAGGCAGCTGGGATGTGGCTCTGCTGTCGCTGTAACATCAAGCAATGCCTTTGGACCAGGCAGTGGCCAGATCTACCTGGACGACGTGAACTGTGCAGGGTGGGAGTCCTCCCAATGCAGCCACAATGGCTGGGGCGTCCACAACTGTGGCCACAGTGAAGATGCTGGTGTTGTTTGCTCAGGTACCTTGGCTTTTCCTCCCCAGCTACCTGGACACTTTCTGCAGTCGGCTCTCGTTGGCCACAATTACGTGTGTGTTGGAGATGTGTTCAGGAATATGTTTTCGATTGCTGCCACCAGCCAAGACCACCCTTTTGTTCAGACCCCGAAGCTCTCCATTGCCCATGTGACGGGGTGGCACCAACATCCCCAGTACTGGCAGAAAACCTTGCCATGCTCCTTCATCCACCAAGGCCTCACTTGCTTCTTTCTCTTCCTCCCTTACAGATGCCCTTACCATGACCACTACTTTTGCTTCAACAACCACTCCAGGTTTGTGTTTTTAATTCTATTTCTCTGAGGCATTACTTTAGAGGAGAATTAGTTACTATTTAGTCAGTGTGAGGTGCAACATTTGCATTATGCAATATTTAGGGGAAAAATCCTTACTCATGTTGTTGAAATCCTACACACGGGACTTTGTCCTTTGAGTGATTCTGTTGTTGGAGATAGATTTCAGAATATGTTGATGATGAGGGAGATTTTCCTTTGTTTCTTCTCTGATTTTATGGTATTTGGGCCAACACCTTTTGCTCAGACCCCCAAGGTCCCCATTGTCCCTGTAACATGGGGGCACCAACATCCCCAGCACTGGCAGAAAACCTGGCCATGCTCCTTCATCCACCAGGGCCTCACTTGCTTCTTTCTCTTCCTTTCTTGCAGTTACCACAACCACAACAGGCATCATCTGTAACACCCTTCCAGGTGGGTTCAAATTTGTCCCTGTTTGTCTGGACACTGCTTTTCCCCCGACTCCAGGGGCCAGGGCACAGGAGCCCCTTTATCCACCAGGGCCTCACTTGCTTCTTTCTCTTCCTCTTCTACAGATACCAGAACCACAACCACCACCACAGGACCCACTACTCCAGGTGGGTCTGAATTTGTGCTTGTTTTTCTGGCCACTTCTTTTTTGGAACCAGGAAGTGCTGCAGAGGTTGGCCTTTGGTCTTCTGTGTGGGAGAGCAGA